ATTATTATTATTATTATTATTATTATTATTATTATTATTATTATTGTTATTCACAGCTTCTGTTATGATCTACACAGAAAATCTTTAAGAATCTTCAGAAAAGTTATTAGAATTAACAAGAGTTTAACAAGGAGCTGACTGACATTAGATCAAGATGTAAAGTTCAATTGTTTTGGGGGGGTGGAGGTGGCTACTGGGGATTGAACTCAGGGCTGAGATACATTCTCAGCCCTATTTTGTATTTTATTTAGAGACAAGGTCTCACTGAGTTGCTTAGCACCTCACCATGAGGCTGGTTTTGAACTCAAAATCCTCCTGTCTCAGGCTCCTGAACTGCTGGGATTATAGGCATGAGCCACCATGCCTGGCTCAATTGTATTTTTATATAATGGATTTAAGCAATTAGAAAATGTAAGGAAGTAAATGATACCAAATACAATAACCACAAAAAAGCATAATGTACATAGGGAAAATCCAGCACAAGACAAGTAAAAAGTTCATAGAGAAAAATTGTAAAATTTTGTTAAATATTCTAAAGGTGAAATGTTTATAGATAGGCATTCTCAATATGATCAAGATGTTATTCCTTCCCAGACTGACTTATATATTAATGCAACCCCCTAATAGTGCCATTAGTACATTAATAATGTACTAATGTACTAATGGCACTATTAGGTAAATATAACAAGTCAAGTTTAAAACTTGCCTGGAAAGTAAAATCTAAGAATAGTCGAGATCCTCCTGAAGAATACCAAGATAAGAGAAATGTCCTTCTTAAATATGAATTTTTTAAAAAAAGCTCTGGTATCTAGACTATGTTATTCATGTAGCGCAATCTAAATGGGGCCTTGCAAGTAGATAGTAACCCCGGAAACAGATTCACACTGGCATACTTACTGGAGGCCTCTTCTTGTGCTGGACTTTACTATTTTAAAATGGTAAAATGGTTAGGGGATTCCAGGGAAGGGGAACAGGTGATCTGAATGGTGCAGTTGAGAGTGGTAAGGAGGCTCATAATAGTAACTATTTATTAACAGTAATGGAAATGGTCATTTTAACAATTGTATTTTAATAAAATATACAGAGCCATACAGTTATGCACTAGTTGCAGTTACCCATATACCCTCCATATTTGAAAGAAGTGACTTTCAAGCATTGGGAAAGGATGCACCATTCAATAACAGGTGATAGAACATTACACACATGGTAAATACATGTACATACAGATGATTGTACATATGGAAAAATGGAATTGAATCCTTAGCCCATACTATACTGAGAAATCATTTGTATATAGATCACAGTAGATTAAAAGTGAAAACTTTAAATACTTTTAGACTTCTGGAATAAAATTGTAGCAGAAAAGTCTGCACTACAATAATGATTTGTGTACCTCTTCCATAGATTGGAGCTGTCACTGGGAAGAGGTTGCTCAGTTAGGTACTAAATTTCTCACCCCCCTTTGCTCTTACTTGGGTCCATATGACCTGAATTCTGGCCAATGCAATGGGGACTGAAATGGTGTATATATGTACTTCTCAAACTAACCATGGTAATGTGCCATCCTTTCACCCATTCAATCACGGACTGCTACAATAAAATAAATTTCCAGAAAAAAAATGGAATTTAAATCATACCAAACTGGGCACACACCTGTAATCCCAGCTACTTGGGGGAGGTTAAAGCAGGAGGATGACAAGTTTGAGGCCAGCCTGGGCAGCTCATTGTGATCCTGTCTGAAAAATAAAATATAAAAGAGGGGAGCATGCTGGTAGGATAGCTTAGTGGTAGAGCATCTCTGGGTTCAATCCTCAGTACTCACACACACATAAGTCATACCAAATACAAACCCATTTTTATTATTATATTCAACAGACATGATATTATTTTAGCCATTTATCATAAAAAGTTTACAGTCTATGGGCTGGGCTGTAGTTCAGTGGTAAATCCTTGCCTTGCCTGTGTGAGGCACTGGGTTCGATCCTCAGCACCACATAAACATAAATAAAGATACATGTGTTCATCTACAACTAAAAAAAATTTAAATATTATTAAAAAAATTTTACAGTCTTGGGGCTGAGGATGTGGCTCAAGTAGGTAGCATGCTGGCCTAGCATGCGTGAGGCACTGGATTCGATTCTCAGCACCACGTAAAAATGAAAAAATAAAGATATTGATTGTGTCTACCTAAAAAAAAAAAAACTAAAAAATAAATATTAAAAAAATTTTACAGTCTCACTTTCTATACTCTCCTGAGATGGAGAGGTAATAAACAGTTTGCAGACCAACAGGGATCAGCAGACCACCCTTTGTGCACCACTTCCAGGCCTGGCCCAGAAAAATCTACAATGGATAAATGTATATTAACACATTGGAATATCAGGTGAAAAATGAATGAATTACAGCTATGAATAACAACATGAATGAATATTACAAATAATATTATTTAGAAAACAATTCAAAGATCTGGGTGTGGTGGTGCACAACTGTAATTCCAGCGACTCAGGAGGCAGAGACAGGAGGATGGAAAGTTTGAGGGCCAGCCTCAAGAAATTTAGGGAGACTTTGTTTCAAAAGGAAAAAAAAAGCAATTCAAAGAACATGTATTATAAATTGCAATACCCTTTTCGCAAGAACTATATTACTTAGAGATACATACACAGGTGATAAAATATATACAAAAGAATGAGAAACAAAGTAAAGGGTAGATGTTAATAAGGTGGGGCAAAGTAAGGTGAACTGGTTAGAGGAATTCAAGATTGATATGAGGGTGTTGATAATCTTCTGGTTCCTAAATAGGAACGGTGCACAGAGATTTGTTTTACTATTATGCATATTTTATACACCACATAAATTTTCTTTTTACATAAAATATTTAAGAAATCTAAAAGGAGTAATGATCAGGAACGTTAGTGAGTTGATCCTTCATCTCCAGACAGTAAGTCCAGTGCTTTCTATGCTATTACGCCAGGATACTTCTAAGAATAACAGCATGACTTGCGATCAAAGAAATATTCTAAAGCACTATTACTTTATAGCTAGCTCCTGGGAAAAGCTAAGAGGTATAGTGTACATAGAGAGTCAATTCAGTCAAACAATAAGTAGATACTCTAATTCGGTTCTAGATTGTGGCATGGTGTGTGTGTGTGTGTGTTGGAAGGGCTGTTTACAAGAGGGTATGAGATAGAGCTCCTCGTCTCAAGTGCTTGTAGACTACCAGGTTTATGAGAGCCACAAATTAAGCACATTAAGTGGGCAGACTATAAAGGATCTCAACAATGAGAGGGAAAATGAGTTGAGCCCATTTCCTTGTAAACGCTCTTCTTTAAATCCTCTTTCCAGGTGTAGTGGGGTTGAGCTTGTTGACTTTTGTCACTCCAGGGTTACTTTAAAGAAGAGGGACAGACGGCCCTCTAACGTAGTTCTCAGCCAATAGGCCTTGATGCATGCGCAATAAGCACACCAACGCTACTATAGGCCCGGATGAAGGCGGAGCTGAAGGTGCCGGATAGTGCGACACGGAGAGCGCGTGCGTCACGTCGCAAGGGGCGGGGTTTCATGACCCGGTTTCCGCAGCGCCCGCCGCAGGCTGGTGTGTCCGTGGTATGCGGGCTGTGTAGGCATGGGGACTCCTCCGGGCTTGCAGACCGATTGTGAGGCGCTGCTCAGTCGCTTCCAGGAGACTGACAGCGTTCGCTTCGAGGACTTCACGGAACTTTGGAGGAACATGAAGTTCGGGACCATCTTCTGGTGGGTGTTTCTCCACTGAAAATTGCTTCCTTCCAGTTTGTAGCTCCGCACGTGGAAATGGTTAAGAGAGCAGTCCCCAAAGTGGTCTCCATCTCTCCTGGGCCTTCGTCTGTGTTCGCACTTTCTTTGGGCGATTTCATAAGGCCTCGATTGCATCTTTTTTTTTTTTTTAATTGTTTTTCTTTTTAAATTTATTTTTTAGTTTTAGGTGGACACAATATCTTTATCTTATTTTTATGTGCCTTACGCATGCTAGGCGAGCACGCTACCACTTGAGCCACATCCCCAGCCCCTCGATTGCATCCTTTTGATGCCTCTTCTCGAATATACGTTTCTGGCTAGTCTCCTAAACTCTTCAGCTGTACTGCCTCCACCCTGATCTAGGCCATTATCTTGACTTCCCCCAGTCTGGTTCTTCTAGAGCCCCATGTTTAAAAAACTGAACAGTCGCACGAGCAATGATAAAATCCTGCATGATTGAATTCATTTTTCATGCAGCGACCAACAGTGTCTTTTTAAAGTGCAAAATTGATCACGTCACTTCCCTGCTCACCACTCTTCAGTGTTTGTTACTGGTTGTCTTTGGGATAAAATTCAAATTCTCTAACATGGCAGGCAATTCTCGGTGACTGGCCTCTGCCTGTATCTCCAGCCTCCTCTTCCAGCCCCTTCCATACACTATCTTGTTCCAGCAATTGCCCTTGGCGTTTTCTAAGCCTAGAGTTTACCCTCTACTTCCACTTGTTTGTCCCCTTTATTCTTCACCCACTTTATGTCCAGATGCCAATTCCTTGGAGATATCTTTCTCCCTTCTAAGCGGGTGTTCATGCTCTAGCCCCTCTCCCCTGGTTATTTTATCTCACTGATTATCACATCTTATTGTGTAGATGAAGAGCCAGTATAGGATATGTTAAGAGTGCAGACAGACCATAGAGCCCAGCTATGTGAATTTGAATGCCGAGTGCCCTAACTGGGATTTGGGATAAGTTATTTGCTTGAGCTTCCTTATTTGTAAAATAGAGGCAATAGTAGTCCTGAGGATTAAATGAGCTAAGAAATATCAAATGTTTCCAAGAGCTCACTAAAGTTCATTGTTATTACTTTTCAATTTTCCCTCCACTAGATTGAGCTTTGAGGACAGTGAATGGGTAAGTTTCGTGTTACCATTAGCACAGCACATATAATATTGAAAAGGCTAAATAATTGAATGAATGAAACCTATGACTAAACTGTGTCTTGCTGAGTAAAATATAAAAGTTCTCTTTTCTCTCTGTTGGTGTAAACTACCTGTGTAGTTTGTAAATTACAGGAGATGAAGGATGACTCTCTATTTATTATACAGCTGATGAAAAGAGAACTAATTTAAAAAAATACTAAATGTAATTAATTTATAGCATAATTTACTTACTTCATAGAACAACTCTGAAAGCAGATATAATTATCCTTGTTTTATGGGTGAAGAAATTGAGGTTTAAGGAGGTTGAAGTAATTTCCTCCACATTGCAGTTAGAAGGTGGTAGAGCAGATATTGAAACCTATATGTCTCCCTGTTTCTTTCTTTTTGTTTTTGCAGTATTGGAGATCGAACCCAGGGCCTCTCACATGGTAGCCTCATACTACTGAGCTTTTTATTTTGTTTTTAGAGCAAAGTCTCCCTAAGTTGCCCTGATTGGCCTCATCAACTAGTCATCTTCTGCTGAAGCCTCCCAAGTAACTTAGATTACATATGTGCAGTGTGTTTGTATTGCCTGGTTCTAAAATCAATGATTTTTCATGTACTACTTTTGGGGAAAAAAGGCATTTCAGGGAAAGTTTTCTAGGGTTACCCCAATTTTTAGCTAATAGAAAAATATCTGAGGAGCCAGTCGATTACCTTCCCTACTTTTTTTTTTAATATTTTTTTTTAGTTGTAGATGGACACAATATTTTCATTTTTATTTTTAATGTGGTGCTGGGGATCAAACCCAGGGCCTCATGCATGTGAGGCAAGCACTGTACCACTGAGCTACAACCCCAGACCCCTTCCCTACTTTTAATCAGCTATAATATAGGCTCTGCTTACTGGCTGCATGGATAATTTTTGTTTTATACTGCTGTTATAAAATGAAAATTTCTACATATCCTTATTTGCATTTTGTGTCAAATTACTTGTGTCTATTAAATAATACACTTTGAGACATTTAGCTAAGGTATTAAAAATTAGGCACTAATCTCCTCGTTTCAGGGTTTATATAGAATCCATAATATGCTTAAAATATGCCTTCCTTCATTGTTTTATCCAAAGTTGTAAGAAGGATATTACATTAACTTTTGGCAAAGTAATGATCTTGCTGGCTTTTAAAAAAAAAAATTTAAAAATTTTGGTTAACTTGGCACAATTTTGGATAGTGTATTAATAATGCCATGTAGGTGCACGGAAATGTATTTCCTGTGTCATTACATTGATTTCTAAGAGAGATGTATTCTCTGATGGATGTTTGGACAAAGCTTTCGAGAGTTGATGAAATCTGCTCTTATATCCCTGCTCTTCTTTCCTATCATTGGCTTTGCAGTGCTCTGGAGAATGGTAGGGTGGGTTACACTGTATTGTTTCTCTTTTTCATGTAGGCTTCCCAAGGATAGTGGAGGTTAAATGCAAATCTCTGGTATATTAGATTGCACACAGTTTTTGGTTTTGTAACATGACCATTGATTTAAATATTAGATGTTTTAAATGTTTCTCTAGTACTAATTTGAATCCCCTTCTTTGCTCTCCAATTTGGCAAGTAAAGTTGGTGCTTTGGGGAACTGTATTTTGTTTATGGTTGTGCCTCACAAGGGGAAAGTTAGCTCTTTGTGCTTGAGTCTTGAAAGGATTAGCCTTTGAATCTTCATCCAATTAGTCACAACTGTTGTTTAAATAAGTATATACCTGTTTCTGGTTTTTGTTCATCTTTTATTTTCTTAATGAATCATAATATATTTTCTTTATGTTTTCTAGTGGTAAAATGAGAAATTTAGAAAAGAACACATTTACAAAGGAAGCTTTAGCTTTGGCTTGGCGATATTTTTTACCTCCATACACCTTCCAGATAAGAGTTGGTGCTTTGTATCTGCTATATGGATTATATAATACCCAGCTATGTCAGCCAAAACAAAAGGTAATACTTGGTAAGTTGTTTTTTCACAGCAAAAATTTGACACAATGTTTTTGTAATAAACTGACTTAAATAGAAATGGTAGTGTTTTAAAATTATAATACACTTATGAAAAAGACTTAAATTCATTACAATTTTTTACTCTTTCTGATTGCAGATCAGAGTTGCCCTAAAGGATTGGGATGAAGTTTTAAAGTTTCAGCAAGATTTGATAAATGCACAACATTTTGATGCAGCTTATATTTTTAGGAAGTTACGACTAGACAAAGCATTTCACTTTACAGCAATGCCTAAATTGGTATGTTGCCTAAAATAACTTTTGTTTTTTAAATGAGAAGTTATACTTTATTGTCCATTAAGCACCTCACTTTCCATAAAGATGGAATGACTATTAATAATATTCAAAAGTTGTAGCCTACTTAAAAATAGAAGAAAATGTTTTCTGATTATGTTTTTTTCCTGCAAACAAAAGTTTTTGAATGTAATATGTTTCTGAATGATATGCATTAAGTAAATTTTTATAAAAGGAAATGAGATTGGGCATCTGAATTTGCTCATGTATTTCTTTATTCAAATGAGAATTTACTGAAAGAGGACCAGGAAATTTTAATATGTAATTGATGAAAAGTGAGTAATTGATGAAAAGTTAAAACTTCCATTAAAATCTGTTATTTCTTCAGTCTTGTGACAATTGAGAGACTAGGTTGAAGAGCACTGAAGAAGGATCTAATTCTGCTGTTAGCTGGCAAATCATGTAACTTCTCTGAATCTCATATGAATTTGTAAGCTGGTGGTATGATATCTACTGGAATAATTGAAAAGTTTAGTAGTCTTTGGAAAATAGGTATTTAACAAATATACACACATAGCTGCTTTTGTTTTATTCATGCTTATTGATAAACAAGTTTTTATTGCTAGTTTATATTTGAATACTTTAAAAATATCCTTTAAAATGCATCCATTTTAAAAGACATTTCTTGTATAGCTTTCATATAGAATGAAGAAGAAAATTCAACGAGCTGAAGTTACAGAAGAATTTAAGGATCCAGATGATCGTGTAATGAAACTTATCACTTCTGATGTATTAGAGGTAAATTTGATTTTATATCCTTGAAATTAAAAAAAAATGTTTTATTGCTGATTATACATTGAGGTTATAACTTCATCTACTGGATATTGACAAATTTTCTTTTAACCAATCATGGAATGCTCTTACTCTCTCTAAGTATCAGAAATAGAACACCCTAAATGTATCAGGATTTGTAAATCTTGAAGCATAAGAAAGAGAAAGATGTAAAATACTGTTAGACTCAGGATCTGTGGATTCATATACTAAAACAACCATTTGTGTTTTTTGTTATATTGAAAAATAAGAATTTAAAGTAACTTTATCTCTATCTATCTATCTGTCTATCTATCTATCTATCTATTTATTTGTGTGCTGGGGATTGAACTCAGGGGCAATCAACTAAGTTACATCCCCACTCCTATTTTGTATTTTATTTAGACAGGATCTTACTGAGTTGTTCAGCACCTCACTGCTGAGGCTGGCTTTGAACTTGGAATCCTCCTTCTCAGCTGGCTCTAATTTTTTTAACAATAGGAATTTATTTCCTAAATTCCTTTTTATAATATTTAAAAACCTATCATTAAAACAGGCTATTTTGACAAATATTTAAAATCAGGATTTATGGATATGCCTTATGGTTTTAAAGTAGTTTTATCATCTAATATATTTTGATATTTTATTAGAATTGTACACTATTTAAAAAAATCTCTTTTTGCACAGATGAATAATGGTACTCTCAGACTTTTTTTTTTTAAATATTTTTTTAGTTGTAGATGGACACAATATCTTTATTTTATTTATTTATTTTTATGTGGTGCTGAGGCTTGAACCTAGTGCCTTATACGTTTGTGTGAGGCAGGCACTGTGCTACTGAGCCACAATCCCAGCGTCTCACAGACTTTTATATGAATAGAAAAGCATTGCCTGAGGTTAAAATAAAATTCCATTATAGGGTTGGTTATAGCCTTTTCTAATCAATGAATTTCAAAATAACATATACAGTGGAGATTGGAAGGGGAGACCTTGGTCATTGTTTTTAATCTCTTTGAGCTTTAGTTTCCCCTGAATTAATATAAGGATTACTATCTTTCCCTTTTCTTTTTTCCTTTCTGTTTTTTGAGACAAGGTCTCATTGTATTGTCTAGGCTGGCCTTGAAATCCTGGCTTAAGTGATTCTCCTGCCTCAGCCTCCTGAGTAGTTGGGACTACAGGCATACACCACCAGACCTGGCTAGGATTGCTGTCTTTATTTCTCCTCACTATGAGAACTGAGATAAGCTGATGGCTGAATACTTTGGCATATGGGATATAGACCCTTAATAAAGAATCTGTTTTTCCCTGTCTTATTCACTGTCTTCCTAAATCAGCAGTAAAAGAGGGGTCAGATTTTTTATTTACTTTGTCTGGATTCCCCACAGAGCATCAGCCTGTCACATTACATCTATGATGTTTGTAAATGTTTACTAAATATCTGAAGTAATGGAGTTAAGGTTCATATTCATTTCTGAATCAATACAGTGCCTATTGGTTGGATAGTAGGACCTGATCTGAACTGGAACTGGGGAAAGAAATTCATCATTTTTAGCAAACATCTGATCATTTGAAGTAAGATTTAAAAAAACTAGGTTCCTTCCCTCTAGCAGCTTGGTGAGAAAGAAGTATGAGAAAATAAATGCAATAAAAGTACTTCAAGTCAGGCATGGTGATGCATACCTGTAATCCCAGTGATTTGGGTGGCTGAAGCAGGAGGATTGCAAGTTCAAGGACAGCCTCAGCAACTTAGCAAGGCCCTAAGCAACTTAGTGAGACCCTATCTCAAAATAGAAAATAAAAAAGAGTTGGGGATATTGGTCAGTGGTTAAGCACCCCTGGGTTAAATCCCTAATACTCCCCCAAAAAGTACTTTGTATAATCGATGGAATTTATATGTTCTCTTTTTGGTAGAGAGACATCATTGAAAATTTTTAGAGATTAGATTTAGTGTCTGGACAGTGCTCTATTGCAGATCCTGCTTATCTGAGGACTTACCACTACTGAACAGTTTACAATTTCTTGAACAGCTAGCTGTCCATTTCACCAAAATCCACTAGAAATTAATTGAATTGAGTAGTCTAAGTAGTCTTAATAGGCTGTTCAGATGTTAAAGTGATGTTAAAGTGTTAATTCTCTGCTGATCTTACAGCCAAGTTCCTGTGCCAGGATTTATATGGTGTCTTAAGTCTGGCTACAGTGTGTTATCTCCCTATCCCATAGGCCTATTTGGCTGGAAGTTTCTTAAAGCGGAAGATTTGATTAATAAATGATGTCTTACATGGTGACATAAGTCACCCTTTATTTATTTTAGTTCTTATTACTCAAGTAATGATGAAACTTAAGGGAATGGGATGGAATTCTTTGAAGGGGTGGGCGAGTGTCATTACAGAGGAATTTCTAGCCAAGAATGAAGGACTGTGTATATGTTCTTTGTGTCACACTTATGATGTAAAATATCTTGGTTTTCTGGGTTGATATATAATGATATGTTGTATTACAATAATTTTCATTATAAGTTAGAATATAATTCTTTGCTCCCCTAATTAGTCTTTTCCCAATGTTTCCCCATAACAATGTGCCTTGAGTTGAATTCAGTAAACCCATACCACTGGAAAACAGTCTCTTTGTTAATAATAAAGTTGTACTATTTTTCTTACATGATTATGTTATTTTCATAGTACCTGTAGCTTATTGTTTCCTGTGAACTCAGTCATTTTGTAAAGTGAGTGTGTTTTGCATTGGTTTTGCCTTTAAGATTGTCCTCAAGCTGGGCATGATGGTGCATTCGTATAATTCTAGTGACTTGGGAGGCTAAGGCAAGAGGATTACACTTTTGAGGCCAGCTTCAGTATCTAAGTGAGGCCTTAAGCAACTTAGTAAAACGCTATCTCAAAATAAAAAAATAAAAAGTTCTGGGGATGTGGCTTAGTGGTAAAGCCCCTCTGAGTTCAATCCTCATTACCCACCCCCACCAAATAAATTGAAATAAAAAACTCATCTTTTTACTTTTAGGAAATGCTGAATGTTCATGATCATTATCAGAACATGAAACATATAATTTCAGCTGATAAGTCCAAGCCAGATAAAGCCCTCAGCTTGATAAAGGATGATTTTTTGGATAATATTAAAAACATAGTTTTGGAGCATCAGCAGTGGCATAAAGACAGAAAGGTAAGCAGTTGCATGTTTGATCACTTACTGTACATTGTACATGAATATTTAGACATGGTGGTATGTTGAGAGGCAGCCTGGTTTAGTGGGTACTTTCCTGTATAGTGAAGATTTCTACTTAAGGTTTTGTCAGTCATTAGCCATGTGGCATCATTTGCCCTTACAAATGGAATATACAACACACAAACACACATGGACACATACATATATATCAGGAATAAGTATTCTTGTATATTATATTCTTATAATCTTTGTAATTTGGGCTAGGCTCAGCGGTAGTGCAAGGACCTGGGTTCAATCCTCAGCACCCCATAAAAATAAATAAATAAAGTAAAGGTATTGCGTCCAACAACAACTAAAAAATAAATATAAAAAAAATTAATCTGTAATTTGGCATTTTTCTAGAGGTTACATACTGACAGCCTTTGGGCCAAATCTGACATATAGATATGTTTTGTTTGGCATAGTATTGATTTCAACATTGTTGTAAAATTTTGAATTAGTGACCAATATGTAAGTATTTGTAGACTTCACCTAAAATTCCAGAAAACCAACTTCACTTCTAAATCAGAATTTGTAAGTGGTCTCACTTTCCTGCATAGTAGCAGATCCTGAACCTGGGTTGTGTCTATCTGCTGTGTCTTATCCATTTTCAAGTCTCATCAACAAATTTTTAGTTTGATTTTTCTGATTCAACAGTATTAATCTTGCCTGTATTCCACATTGGCCTTATTCTGGAAACCTAAGTGCCAGACTTGCCAAATTTATCTTTGAAACTATGATTCCATTTTATTTTAATAAATACTTCCAGGAAAAAATAAAAAATAGAACCAATTTCTGGTTACTTTACTGTTGAATAAAGTATTCAGGTATTTTATTGATGAATACTAGAACTGTTATGAAACCTAATTGTGATCTTAGAGTTTGGTAGTGACCTATGTTGCAGTACTGTGAGATGATCTTTTGGTTTTTTAGTAATTAAAATAATCAAGCGGGGCTGGGGGATGTGGCTCAAGTGGTAGCACGCTCGTCTAGCATGCGTGAGGCACTGGGTTCGATTCTCAGCACCACGTAAAAACAAAATAAAGATATGGTGTCCACCTAAAACTAAAAAATAAAAAAAAAAAAAAAAAAAAAAAAAAGCATCCTAGTTGCATGTACAGATATGCCACAGTGAAGCCTGTTCTGTACAATTAAAATAGCACTAAAAGTGAAGTAATTGATCCTTACTGTTGTAAAATTAATTTGTAACTAATTAAATTGTAAATATGTTTATATGTTTTTATAAATATGTCTATATAAATAACTTTTTTTGCTCTTTTAGGATCCTTCTTTAAAATCAAAAAATAAAGATGGAGAAGAAAAGAAGGAAGAAAAGTCACAAGAATCAGCGGTCAGACAACTGCCATATTATTGTTTATGGGGCAGCAGTTTGATTAGCTTTTTTTACTTTTGTGTGGCTATAATTTTATATATTGAACATTATGGTCTTTGGTCAGCATTATAATAATATCAGAATCTATGATTCAGAATTTTCTATCTATGAAAAGTTAGTCTGTTCTTTACTAGAAATCCTATAAAGCCACATCAGGTATAAGTAGGTAGTAAGGATAACAGTTTTTAGTGGTAATGATGGTGGTTGAAAGTGCCTTTAAGAGGGATAGGGTAAAACTTTTACTGTCTTTTTTTCTGTCACTTGTCAACCTTTCAACCAGTATGGAACCCAAGCTACTGTATGCTGTTTCCTGTCTCCAGAGTTTTCACCCGTCTTAGTAGATGAGACAAGGAGCCATCTTTGAAATAGGCAAATGAGGAAAAATGGCTGTCAAGGGCTCTGCCATGTCACTAAGGCTTTTATTCACATTATCCTCCTGGAGACCTGAATGAAATGAACAAGGGACTGGTGATATAGCTTAGTTGGTAGATGCTTGCCTAGCATGCACAAGGCCCTGGGTTCAGTCCCCAGCGCCACAAAAAAGAAAAGAAAGAAATGAAGAATAACTGTGAGGATGATATATATTATGGCATCTGCTACGTCTATTGTCTATTGAACGTGTTTGTACTCAATTGAGCCTAGTAAGCATTAGTTTCCTTTACCCTACCTTCTGTCTTAAATCTTATTTCTGATAGAAAATACTTGAGTATTCATAATTTCACCTAACATTTGTGTGTTTTAACTTTGTTTTTTCCTTGTTATTTATTTTTCTTCCAGAGATGTGAAAGGGCAGAAGCATTAGCAAGAATAAAATCAAAAGCCTTTTCAGTTGTTGTTCAGGTAAGTTATTTCTTTAATAAGGTAATTTGAAAATTGCATGTTTTTAAAATTATATTTTGATTTTTCTTTTTTTTATTTAATTGAATTTATTTTTTTAAAAAATACGATAGTGGAATGCATTATAATTCTTATTACACATATAGAGCACAGTTTTTCATAAAGTATGTTCATGCCAATTCATGTCTTTATACATGTACTTTGTGTTTTTTTACATTACAATTCTTATTACATATATATATACCACAATTTTTCATATCTCTGTTTGTATATAAAGTAGGTTGACACCCAATTTGTGTCTTCATACATGTACTTTGGTTAATGATGTCCATTACATTCCACCGTCTTTGCTAATCCCCTGCCTCCTCTCTTTCCTTCCCTCTCCTCTTCCCTATCTAGAATTCATCTATTCCTCCCATGCTCCCCCTCCCTACCCCACTATGAGTCAGCCTCCTTATATCAGAGAAAACATTCGGCATTTGTGTTTTTGGGATTGGTTAACTTCACTTAGCATTATCTTCTCCAACGCCATCCATTTACCTGCAAGTGCTATGATTTTATTCTCTGTTCTTGCTGAGTAAAATTCCATTGTGTATGTATGCCACATTTTTTTTTTATTCATTCATCCACTAAAGGGCATCTAGGTTGGCTCCATAGTTTAGCTATTGTGAATTGTGCTGCTATAAACATTGATGTGTCTGTGTCCCTGTAGTATGCTGTTTTTAAGTCCTTTGGGTATAGTCCGAGGGATAGCTGGGTCAAATGGTGGTTCCATTCCCAGATTTCCAAGGAATCTCCATTACTGCTTTCCGTATTAGCTGCACAATTTGTAGTCCCACCAGCAATGTATGAGAGTACCTTTTTCCCCACAATCTTTCCAACACTTATTATTGTGTGTCTTCATAATAGCTGCCACTCTGACTGGAGTGAGATGATATCTTAGAGTAGTTTTGATTTGGATTTCTCTGATTGCTAGAGATGATGAGCATTTTTTCATATATTTGTTTTTTTTTTTTTTTTAAATATTTATTTATTTTATTTTTCCGGCAGACACAACATCTTTGTTAGTATGTGGTGCTGAGGGTCGAACCCGGGCCGCACGCATGCCAGGCGAGCGCGCTACCGCTTGAGCCACATCCCCAGCCCTCATATATTTGTTGATTGATTGTATATCCTCTTCTGAGAAGTGTCTGTTCGGGTCCTTGGCCCATTTGTTGATTGGGTTAAAGGAGTAGGAAATGATGGAGCAGGAAACTGTTGGGTTACATATATGATTGTTGGGTTTTTATTTGACTTTTAAGCTGTACATGTTACTTTAATTAAAAGTCTATATATAGATATATTCATATTTAATTCATATATAACTCAACAATCACTTATATAACCCAACAGTTTTCTGTTCCATCATTTCCTGCTCCTGTAGGAAATGACCTTGAGAGGCAACCATCTTCAGCTTGTTCTCTTCTTATTATTTCTGATTCTGGAAGTTTTGGGGGTTTTCTCTTTATCCCTGAAGTTTGGAAGCTCCATGGTGATGTAACTTGGTATAGCTCTTTTGCATTCATTGTCTTTGTCACTCACGGTAGCTGTCCTTTCAATCTAATAATCTTGGGTTCTGAGGAACTTTTTGTAATTCTTTGATGATATTTTTTACAGCATTTTCTTTCCTTGAACATTTCTATTTTCAATCTCTTTCTATTATCAATTTTTTAACATTATCTTCTGAACCATTAAATTGATTTTTCTATTGATACATATTTTCATTATTAAGAATTTTTCTTATTCTCTCTATCTCTTTTTACTTTAAAAAATAATTTCCCCCACCTCAGGATGCAGTATCATTTTCTCTTTAAGGATGTTATCTAGTTTTTTGATGTTGCCTATTTCCTTTGAATTTCTTTTTTGTTTATTTTGATCTCCATCTTTGATTTTACTGGCTTTTTTCCAAAAGATCAAAGACCCTGGATACCTGTTCATATTCAAAAGTGGTTAATAGGAAACATTTTAACCCCATATGTCTTTTGTTTTTTGAGTCTTGTCATTTTTACCAGAGAATAATCTTTTGTTCCTTTGTCTTGGGGTGGGTGGGAAATTTCAAGGTTCTGCAGAGAGTCGCCCAAGAGGCTCCTCATGCCTTATACAAGTTGCTTTCAAGCTCCCTGTTTTCACAGAGGTCTTATTCCCTTAGCTATACAGTTTCCTTAAGTCTATAGACTAGTAAGCATTAATTTCCTTTACCCTACCTTCTGTCTTAAATCTTATTTCTTTTTTATGGGAGGAGGCTGGGGAATGGGACACTATTCCCTTTTAGGTTTTTAGGACATTCACCCATTTTTTTAGTTTCATTTCTGCTGATTCCAATTTCTGACCCATTTGGATGAGCTTGCTGAATTTTTACTAACTTCCTCAGTGCAGGCAAGTAGGTTTTAGCCTTCTTCATTTTGTTAAGTCAGCTATTGCTGTCTTTTCACTTTCCATCTTCCAAAATTTTATTCTGTTAATAGTTGTATTTTTTTTAATAGTTTTATTTTATTTTTATGTATTACTGAGGATTGAACCCAGTGCCTCACACATGCTAGGCAAGCACTCCACCACTGAACTATAACCCCAGCCCTAATATGTATATTGTTTCCTGTTGTCTCTGTTATTGTGAGTTTATGCAATTTTATTCTTTTACTGTTACTTTAGTGTGGTTTCAAGAGGGAGTATTGATAAGTATATGTGTTTAATTTCATGTATTTTTCTCATGAATCTAAAATGTGTTTATTTTATGGGAAAGTATTATCATTTCCTAATTGTAGAAGTCAAAGGTAATAAAGTAAAAATGAAATGGAACTCTAGATTGGTTATATGTTATTTTTTACATCGTTAAATAATTAAATGGTATTCTCCATAGATTGTTACTAAGTGTGTCATTGCATGGTTGTAGGATTCCCGCCCCCCTTTGAGGTAAAGAGTTGATTGCTTTTTAAGAATTGTTAATATCTATACTGCATATACAATTAACTGAAACTTTTTTGCTTAAGCAAATAAGGGAATTCATTGACTGATAAAACTACAAAGATATTGTTAGGACCAAGCCTCCATTTCTGACCTTGAATATTGCTGTCATTGTCTCTAAATGCTATTTGTAGCAGCTCTAGTGTTGCATGGTCCCAGCTTCAGGTTCAAAAGAAAGGGAATTTTCCCTTTCGAATGGTTAAGCAGTTCTAAAATAGAATTACATAATGTATTATACAGCTCACATGCCCATTCCTGAACAAATAAATAACAGTGGCCATGGGGACGTGAAACTCATTTTGGCAGCTCTAGGCCACACCTAGAGCCAGGCATGAAGTAGATCCACTGAAAACTCATGGTGGTACACACGGAAAATAAAGGAGAAATAGGTTATTAGAAATAGGATCAGGCCAGGCGTGATGGCGCATGCCTGTAATCCCAGTAGCTTGGGAAGCAGAGGCAGGAGGATCATGAGTTCAAAGCTAGCCTCAGCAACTTAGGGAGATCCTAAGTAACTCAGCAAGATGTTGTCTCTAAATAATATATAAAAAAGGGCTGGGGATGTGGCTCAGTGGTTGAGTGCCCCTGTACCAAAAAAAAGAAAGAAAGAAAATTAAAACAGTATGTGCCTCTCTGTCTGCATTTCCTAATCAATCCAGTAGTCAGAACAATTGTATTTTAATCCAATGTGAGTAAATGATGATTATATCTGCAGGAAACATTATGATAAAGGTAAAAGACTATGTATATGGCACAAGTAATTTTATTATTAAGTCAGTGTGATAGTTAATACTTTACTTTCTTATAAATCTTTCCTTGTCTTTACGTATTTCTCCTTTCCTCTAAATTATCTGTCAGTTGTATTCATTTTTGTAGTTCATTGTGGTTAATTGGATTTCTAAATTTAAAGGCATCCAAGTCAAGACGGCATCGTCAAGTCAAACTTGACTCTTCTGACTCTGATTCTGCATCTGGTCAAGTACAAACTGAAACAACTAAGAAAAAGAAAACCAGAGGAACACTGAAGTCAGCAGGAAGGAAGATTTCATCCAGAAACAAAGGTACCTCTTAAGTCTTACCAAGACTCATCAAGGCAGAATGGGTCTTATTCATAATTTCCCTATACCTTTATTTCTTTATTAAGATGGATAAAACTTGTTTGAGAACATTATGGGATTTAAAATTAAAAATAAATTAATTCTCTTAGATTCTTTTTATTTTTATTTTATTTTTTAGTTGTTGACAGACCTCTCGAACCCAGTGCTTCACACACGCTAGGCAAGCACTTCATTGCTGAGTTTCAGCTTTAGCCCCTCTTAGATTCTTGGGATCTCGTTGCTGAAGAGACCTGAGGAGTTATATTTATTTTTCATAGATGATGAATTTAGGCCCATATAGATTAAATAGCTTGTCAAAGTGATATAGCTAGATAGTTTTAGAATCAGTGAAGAATTATACAGTGCATGCTTTGTTAATGATTTTTTTTTTTTTTTTTTTTTGGTGTATATCAAATTTGTGTGTAGAATAAGCTAATGATAATGCATTCCATAAACTATTTTTCTATGGTTATATTAATTAAGCTGTCTCTGCTTTTCTTTGGAAATACTGAATCTGTAAAATTACCTTTGCTATTTGGTTCTTAAATAACAATATATTTAATAGTTTGATTTTTTTTAATTGCATAAGTAAATGTATTATACATAAAGTTGATTAACAGGCTTGGGGAGGAAGTGAAAGTGTTAGAAATATTAATGTATATTAATATGTATGTAAATATTTAATGCTCACTGTAAATATTTAATGCTATCAAACACATTTCTAGCTACCTCAGGCTACTTCAGGAGTATATGAAGATAATATACAGTCTTTTAATGTGTTTTTTTTTCTTCCTATAATGTGACAGTAGAGGGAGAATTAAAGTTTAAATACCTTTCCTGTATTTCAGACATGATTAAGTGCTATAATAGTTGCTTGAAATACACTGAGAATTCAGAGGATATACCCTATTTGTTTAGAGTGATTAAAATATTCTTAAAGAAAATTTTTTATTTTTCACAAAGCTAGCAAATACATAGGAGAATATGTAGAGCAAATTCACTTATTGAGTTACACATATCAAAAAGGATCTGAGCTGGGCACGGTGGCACAGGCCTGTAATCCCAGCTGCTCGGGAGGCTGAGGCAGGAGGATTGTAAGTTCAAAGCCAGCCTTAACAATAGTGATACGCTAAGCAACTCAGTGAGACCCTGTCTCTAAATAAAATACAAAACAGGGCTGGTGCTATGCCTCAGTGGTCAAGTGCCCCTGAGTTCAATCCCTAGTACTCAAAAAAGAAAAGGATCTTTTCTTTTCTACTTACTGTAGTGTACTTTCCCCATGATACTTCAAACATCTTGCAATTGATTAGAATCTGTTAATATAATTTATTATATAAATATTTTAAAGGGGAAAATGTGGATTAATTTTAGTAGTTATCAAAGAGGACAATGGATAATATCCAGCATCCACTTTTGATTTAAAACAAAACAAAACAAAAAAATCTCTAGATCAGCAGGTCAGCAAACTGTTTCTATAGCCTGGTAACAAATCATATAGTCCCTGTCACTTCTGCTCAATTGCCATTATAATGTGAAAATAGCTACAGATAATTCAAAAACAAATGAATATGTTCATGTTCCAATAAAACTGTATTTACATAGGAGGTGATGGGCTGCATTTGGTTTGGGAATCATAGCACGTCAACTCTTATTCTAGATAAAAGAACTAGAAAGTTATTTATTTATTTATTTTTTAAATATTTTAAATTGTAGATGGACACAGTATCTTATTTATTTATTTTCATGTGGTCCTGAGGCTCGAACCCAGTGCCTCAGTGCCTCACACATGCTAGGCAAGCACTCTACCACTGAGCCATAACCCCAGCCCCACTTGTTTAATTTTTGAAGTGTGTGTTTGTGTGCACATGCATATGCACACTTGTGTTTGTGTGATAAACTATAAGCCACTTCATGTTTACTAGTAAACATGTATTAGTTTTATCTGCAATTGCTTTTGAAGAGCTAGTCAATGTAATTAGACAGGAGAGTGAAAAAAGGTATTTTTTTAGTCAGCTGTTTCACTGCTGTGACTAAAAGATCTGACCAGAACAACTGGAGAGGAGGAAAGGTTTATTTGGGGGCTCTGGTTTCAAGGGTCTCAGTACATAGATAGCCAGCTCCATTCCTCGGGGCTCAGGGTGAGGCAGGGCATTGTGGCGGAAGAGTGTGGTGGAGGGAAGCAGCTTACATGGCGATCAGAAAGTAGAGACTCCACTTGTCAGATACAAATACATACCCCAAAGCCATGCCCTAATTCTCACCTCCTCCAGCCACACCCTACCACTCTAGTTACCACCCGGTTAAATTCTGTCAGGGGATTAATTCACTGATTGGGTTAAGACTCTCACAACCCAGTCATTTCTCCTCTGAACCTTCCTGCATTGTTAGAGTCTGTAAACAAGTCAAAATAACATCTGGCATTTTGCCAGGGGAATGTTAGAGTTGGTAAACAAGTCTGGATGGTGCCTGGCAAAATGCCAGAAGGAGTGGTTTGAGAAGTAACAAAAGCGAGCCATTAAGTGTGAAGATTCCTTATTGGTTGACTGATGTATCTAGTTTATGCTAATTAGATAAGCTGTGTGGAATGTATAAATACTGCTCCTGTCCTGCAATAAAGGGCTTCCACTCCTGCTGTATCAACATACACAAGTTGTTCGTCACCCCCCAGTTATTTTGCTGCAGCCAGACTGCGGCACTGCATTATCTCACATATGAGCTTTTGGGAGACACCTCACATCCAAACCTTAACAAATATGGAATCAAAGAAACTACAAATTTTCCATGATTTGCAAATGAATGATTTTATGTCTAAAAAATTTGCAAAGAGAATTTGCTGGGGGGAAAAAAAGGAACAAAAAATATTTTGGGATACCACTGCAAACCTTAGAGAGATGAAAAGGTTAATAAGAAAAAATTTTGAATTTTATTCCAGTAAGTTAGATAGCTAAATAAAATGGAAAAATTGTTTCCAAAATTAACATAAGAAGAAACAGAAAATCTGAATAGTCCTATGACTACTAAAGAAATTAAACTCCTAGATGGCTGTACTGGGCATTTTAGCAAGTATTTAAGAAAGAAAAATATCAGTCCTTTTAGAAAATAGAAGCAGGAATACTTTCCAGCTTAATAACATTACAAGAAAACTAAGGACAAATTAATATCCTTCATGAGCATACCTATAAAAAAAAAAAAAAGTCCTGAAAAAATATTAGCAAGTTGAATCCAATAATATATTAAAAGGTCAGTGATATTATGAGCAACTAGCATTTATCCCAGGAATATAAGGTTGGTTTGATACAAACCAATGTAATTCATCACTAGCCAAATAAAATACGATAATATAATCCTCTCAAGAGATGTAGACAAAAATATTTGATAAAATCCAGCACGTACACAAGATAACCCTGAGCGAATAGAACAACACTTACTTGGTCTGATTAAGGACTTCTTTGAAAACCTCTGGCTAATAACATCATACTTATTGGTAAAACAATGGTTTTCCCCAAAAATTCTTAGAATAAGCAAGGATGCCTGCTTTTAGTATTCCTATTAAACATTATGCTGGAAGTCCTAACCAGTGTAGTAAGGTAAGAAACAAAAAATTAATGGCCATTCAGATTGGAAAGGAAGAAATACTATGCTTGTTTTCAAATAAAATTAACTTTTCCATAGAAAATCCTAAAATCTATAAAATAGCTATAAGAACTAATAATCAGTGAATTAATTATTTTTTCAGTGCTGGGGCTTGAACCTAGGGCCTGAACCTAGGGCCTTGTGCATGTGAAACAAGGGTTCTAACACTAAGCTATACCCCTAACCCTGAATAATTGAATTTAGCAAGGTTATAAGGTAACCTTGTTAATATTTCTCTGTGATAGCAAATGTATCATTAAAAATTGAAATTTTTTGAAAAAAGTGTAATAGCATCTGAAATACAAATTACTTTGGTATATAGGTGATAAAATATGTGTAGAATATGTATGCTGAAAACTACAAAATTATTGATGAATGAAATTAAAGAAGACCTAAATTGAATGGAGACATGTGTGGTCTTTATGAATTGCAGACACAATATTAGGATGTCAGCTAATTCCCAGTTTTTCTGTACAGTCAATAAGATCCCTATGAAAGGGGCTGGGGATGTGGCTCAAGCGGTAGCGCGCTCGCCTGGCATGCGTGCGGCCCGGGTTCGATCCTCAGCACCACATACAAAGATGTTGTGTCCGCCGAAAACTAAAAAATAAATATTAAAAAAAAAAAAAAAAAATCCCTATGAAAAATTCCAACAGTTATTTTGTATAAATTAACAAGCTGATTTTTAATTATATATTATAATGAAGAGGAATTAGAGCAGTCAAAACAGTTTGAAAAATAACTAAGTCTTTGGAAAGTAAGATAGTATACTACCTCTGAGACAAAGGTCAGTGGAACAGAGGTGTAGAATAGTTTATACCTATATCCAAAAAAGTCCTTAACTCGTCTCATATATAAAAAATAATTCAAAATGGATCATAGACCTAAATGTAAAACTCAAAATTACATAACTTGTGGAAGAAAATATAGGAGAAAAAAAGGTTTGTGTTCTCAGATTAGATAAAGAGTTTTTTTATATTTGACATGAAAAACAAGGCATAGCTGGGCATGGGGTTGCATTCTTGTAATCCTAGCTACTGGGAGACTGAGGCAGAAGGATTGCAAGTTTGAGGCCAGCCTGGGCAACTTAGCCAGATCCTGTCTCAAAAGGTCTGGGGATGTAGCTCAGACCACTTGCCTAGCATATGTGAGGCCCTGGGTTTAACTCCCCAGTAACACACACTCAACAAACCCACAAGGCATAAAAGAAAAAATTGATAAATTGAACTTCCTCAAAATTAAAATTCTTGTCTTTATAAGTCATTAAGAAAATGAAGAGGCAAGTCACTGGAAGAAGATATTTGCAAAATACAGCCCTAAGTCTTACATCC